CAGCAATTAACCACTAAGAAGAATATATGCAGTGTATTATTTGTTAAAACTGTACTTCTGATTTGATTTGAAACTGTCTCATTGCTGTTTATCAATAAAACTTTAAAAAAAAAAAAAAAAAAAGGAAGGGACGCCCTCCATTCATGATGACTTGGAAGGAATCTGGTCACTTGAAGCAAAGGAAGCCACTATGCCTATGCACAAAACTCAAGGAAACCTGAATGCAGAACAGAAAGCTGCCCCAAATGTGGAACTGGGTCTACAGAACGACAGGGCACCAGATGGAGCTATCAACAGGTCACTGCTATTTTACGGAGCTTGAACTTGACTCTGGGAGCCATACTGATCGACAATTGTGCTGTATTACAAGTGAACCTTAGATCTCTGGTTCCAGACAGAGATCTGGAGAACAACACGCACAGGTGTGAGTCTGGAGACAGAAGGTGACTGGACAGTAGAAGAGACAGAAAAAGGTCATCCCAGATACAAGGGACACAGGACAGGGTGGCAGAGGTTGAAGTAACACTGTCAGGTCCTAAAGGACACAGGTAAATGAAGGTGAGGCAAGGTCAGCAGCAGCAACTTGTCAGAGGTACTTTCTGTGGAGGGTCGGGTGGGTGCCAGGATGATCTGTTCTGGTAATAGGTTGGCAGCATGACACCCAAAATTCATGTTAGCTGGGAGCAGAACTTAGCTCTCATTACAGGGCTCTGGCCCATCATCTGTTAAAAAGTCCACATTATTCAACAAATAACCATTTACAACCCAGATGCAACAACAAGCTATGAAAAACCTCTCACTTACTTTGCTGCTATAACTGCGGTGATTGGAACTCTGAACAGAGGGCCTGCGTTAGGGGAGGCTATGTCATAGCCACACACCTGCAAACAAGAAGGGCATGTTTCAACAGCCACAAACGCACTTGTAAATACGCAATCAAATGGCACACCCTAGTTACTAAATGAATTAATGTTAAAATACATATAAGGTGCAATCGGTATTTAGACACGTGAGCACATAACAATACCAGAAAGCTCAAACAAAAACATTTACACTAATTGACTGAGACTAATGGGAATATGAGCTGACAGGTACAAACTCATAACTATGCTCAACTGCAAAATGGCTCAAACTAACACTGCAGACACGACTGGAGGTAGAGACCATTACACCATTCTGTGTTTCCTAATAACTACCTTATGTCTAACAGATCCTTTCTTCATCTGGGTATTAAAGGTAACTAGAACTGGGATTCCCCTGAATTAAACGAAAGACAAATTATAGGGAAGACCTAACTGGAAAGTCTTACAGTTTTGCTTCTCTTCCTTGTCTCCTTTAAGTAAGGATGTAATATGACATTCTTAAAGTACTGACTGCTTAAAAGAGCTATAAAATCTAGCAAATGTAAAGGTCTAGTTGTTCCTTTACAAGAAAATAATACACCACAAACACAAGTGGGGCATGGTTTGCTCCTAACTCTCAAACATTACACATTAAAAAAAAATGAAGAGGGGTTGGAGAGATGGCTCAGTGGTCTAAGGCACCTACTTGGAACAAGCTTGGCAAAGCACAGGGACCACGGTTCGATCCCCCAGCACCACATGCCAGTCAGCCCCGCCCCCTGGTGGGCTGAGCTGGCCACCCACCCACACAATAAACAAATGTAAAAAATAAATAAATAAATAAACAGTGGAATATATTTAAAAAAAAAAAGAATGAAGACATCAATACCTCTGTATAGTGTAATCCTTCTCTCAAGCCTCTGGGATCCACACGTATGTTTATGTGTCTACACTGATTCATGAGTTCCAAATGGCTGGGACACTGAACCCAAGATGAATTTGAAGTTAAAGCTAAATGAAGCTGAAGGGATATTTTTTCAGAGTTTTCTGGCATTAAAAAGACCAAAAATTAAAATTAGCAATTTTTTTTCCATTTTAAAAAGTTCAAGCTTTATAAAGATAATTTAGCAGGTTAGTGTGGGCAGCGGTAAAATGGCCTAGACACGAACATCCAAAACCCTAGCTTCAAATAAAACAAACACAGAATCTTCTAGTACACTCATGAGACCTACTCATACCTCTAGCAAACACTGCTACATCATAAAATGTGGTGTTTCAGTGGGTATTTTAAATTACTATCTGCAGATAACAGCATCTGAAGACAGGCAAACCCAGGGATGCCCATCTTACACCTAAACGCGCTGCAGTTCTCTTTGGCTGCTCTTAGGCCCTACACTCACTAAAAACCTATCTTATATGCTCATAGTAAAATGGGGAGACAACAGGAATTTGCTATGTTACTAAGAGTTTCATAAACTGTGGGTCACCCAAGGACCACCCAATTGACTTCCACAGTAGTACAGATGCTAAGGGAATGGCCATGGGACTGAGATTCCTAACCGCCCTGGTATTTTCAAGTCTGTCACTTTTAAAACAATACACTGCCTACCCAGAACAATGGAGTATTTCTAGACCATGTACCATGCCTGGGAAGCAAAATGGGGCATGTCTGTTTCCCAGTGGCCTACTGCTTACCAGTGTTCTCTGGAAATGCCGGCTCGATGCCAACACCATGATCTGAGGGTGCAGTCACTTGAACAGGGTCTCGGAGGTAGATGCCGCGGTTACTTCCAACAGTAACTGTAAAGCCTAATCTATTAGCAAATGATGTATTCTGAACGAGGTAGTCGTAGGCTTTATCAACCTAAATGAAAGAATATAAGCAAGAAGACATACATGGTTGAGCCAAGACAATACTTCATTGCCAATTACCCATCTATCTTTCAATTAGCAAAACATACGCAAAAGTTCGTTTCTATATACAGTTCTCTAAACTGTCAATAGCTCAGCAAAGAGGGCAATTCTATAGTCTTATTCAAAAGACCAGTCCAGTTACCACTGGGGGAAAACCTGCTGTGTCACACATCCTTCAAACTGTTATCTCAAGTGACCAAATGTAGACACTGACCCACGTACCATTATAACTGACCAGCTTTTCTTTTACTTTTCTGCTTTAAATCTGAAACTTGTGTATGTTCTTCATGTTTCTGCATCTTAGCACAACAAATCTGTCTGTACTACAAAATGTGTTTGGGTATCCTTTGTGCCTACAGATATACAGCCATACAACCTACAATTAATAAATGTTGAATAGTTGCAGTATTATTACCCAGCGATATCTAAAACACTATCTTAATGACTGGCCTTAGAACCAGCTTTCCACACTGACAGTACCTGAATAATACCATGTCCTTGGGCAAATACTTCTATATTCTCAGCCTTCACTGCAGTATTTTCTAGGGCTCTTCTTACTGAATGAACCGTATAGTCAACGTTATTGGCTTTCAGACCTAAAGTCAAGAAACAAAAGTGTTGAGATACTTTACATCTTGAAGCCCTTTTCCTCCTTCCAGTACGATGACATGTAACCTCTCTACTTCACGTCTTGTGTTTCCACACTCACACTGAGCAGTCGGACTCAAGTTGTGAGCCTCACACACACACCTAACTCAACAGAAAACAATGGCGCACAGAGACCAGGATTTGATCTCCGACCCCACATGCTGTGCTGAACAGGCCCTCGGGGCATGAGGCATGGTGGCACATGCCTGCAATCCCAGCACTTGAGAGGCTGAAACTGGAGAAGCACTATAAGTTGACCTGTGTAGTGAGACCCTGTACTAAATACATTAAAGAGAAAGAGAAAGAAAGAGAGAAAAAGGAAAGGAAAGGAAATGAAGGAAGAAAAATTAAGAAAGAAAGAATAAAGAGAGAAAAGCAAGCAAGCAAGTGCACAGACTGATCTTTGGGGCATTTATGAAAGCTATGCAGAGGTGATATAAATGTATGAAGCAGACACCTAGCTACACCTGAGTAATGTTTTACTTAAAACATTTCTGGTCAAACACTATGGTTTCTGACAACAATTTCCAACTGAGATACAAGTTACAAATACCAGAGAGCTTCAGAAAAAAAAAATCAAACAAAACCCTAAAAAATCCAATTACCCAAGAATCAGAATCTGTGAACCTGGATCTCAGAGACTAGTATCTATTAAAAGCTTCCTGGCTGATTCTAGCACGCAGGCAGGTCAGAGCTGGGGAAGTTATGGAAGCCACCAAGCTGCAATAAGGGAGGACAGTAGTCAGTGACGACCTCACCTGAAAGTACCAAGGCGATGCCTCCACATGCATTGGGGGAAGACATAGACGTCCCGTTCATCAGCTGGGTCCCCCTCAATGTCCAGTTAGGAACAGAAGCAATGGCTCCTCCCGGTGCGCTGATGCTCACGCCAAGGGCCCCGTCCGCACTAAAGGAAAGGAAAAGCCGTTAAAGTCTGCTTATGGTGGACACTGACAGGCACGCCTAAAAGGCTACTGGTCAGATCAACTGTATCCTAATACTGTGAATTATTCGAAAGCATTCCAAATAATGGCGCTGTAAAAAAGCTAAATGACAAAAACTGCTACTGTAAAAAATCAGTGGGGGTAAAACACCAAGCACAGCTATTTCCCATCAGGTGGCGAGAAATCACTTGCATGTATCTGGGCTTATACGTGGCAGCTCAAAGGTTTTAGTCAAACAAGTGCTCCTACTACTGGATAAAGGTACTTTTCTCCATAAAAATTTTTTTTAGCTTGTTTAAAGTCTAGTATAGTAAAATGGAAACATAATGTGGGTCAAATATGTAATTTACAGTTATCTAAAGCTACATTTAAAAGGACCGACAAGCAACAAGTCAATTTAAAACTCCATTTTACTTAGCAGGACACATCCTAAGTGTTCATAGCCTGTAACTGCCAGGAAATGGAGCTAGAGCACGTTCTTCTTTGGACTAAGTCTTTAACACACAGCTGCATACCGTACACCTACAGTGCACCTCCATTCAGACGGATCTCTCAGGACTGCATGTGGCCCCTCGGGACAGCTCAAGTTTAACAGGACCATGCAGAGGAGGGCTTCAGGGAGCCAAGATTAATGAGCTACAACTCTTGATCACATTGTCATTTAACACATGCTCTATCCTGTCCCATGGGGGCCTGCTCATTAGCTCAGCTGTTTAAGCGCCTGCTCATGCAAATGCAGTCAGGCCCAGGACACTGCGGCTCAATCCCCACCTCCACCTGCCTTACCAGACCGGCCCTTAAGGCAGCCTGAGCCAGCCAAAAATAAAAACTAAATAAATAAATCATTCTCTGTCCCAAGGAAAGAAATCACATAATGATACATACTTCCTCAGAAAAACTACTGCATGGCCTCCTCCTCTATAATAATTCCCCCAGATGAGTAAAGTTTTTAGTCTTGGCTAGACATATGAGGGCAATTTGGTTTCACATTTTCACAGAGCACTGAGAGCAAGGCACATGTCGAGACTTAGAATGATTTCTACGTTCTTTTTTGCACCATGTACCTTACCTACTAATGCTCAAAATGAACACTAGGCATTCTATAAGTAGAAGAAATTAACTGCAAAGACTCATGAATATGAACTACTTTCCACTGCCCTTTACTGGTCTGTCACTAGCATATGCAGCACTTAACAGTCATACAGTATGCCTAAGGCTTGGGATAGAGCTCAGTGGCACAGTGTTTGCCTGGCACACGTGAGATCATGAGTTCAAGTCCTAGTATCTGGGGGTGGGGGAACATTCCCAAGTCTTTAAATGAGTACTCTACAAATGTTTAATAAACTGTCAAAGGGCCAGTCAAATAGCTCAGTGGATTAAAGCACCTGCTTAGGCAGATGCAGGGGCAGGGAGTTCAATTCCCAGGCCCTCTGTGATGGCCTTTGAGACTGGGCAAGGTGGCATGTGCCTGTAATCCCAGCACTTCAGAGGCTGTAAAAAAGAGGATCACTGAGTTCCATCTACGCAGGGAGACCCTGTACACCCTGTCCTAAATTAAAAAAAAAAAAATTTCCTTAAAAGTTAAAAAAAAAAAAATTAGTGGTACTTTCTTTTCAAATTACCACATATAACAATTCCAACAATTCAGCCCACTTATGCAGATGTTATCCAATAATCTGTCTTTAACAGATATGCCACACTAGGAAACACCAGGAAACGAAGCAGATGCTGAATGTCTGATGGTTGATGCTTATGGAGGGATAATAGTTTTCAAAAGCACTATAAAATGTGTCAATGACCATTAGTCCATTCTATATTTTACAGTCTAATAGACAAATCTAATAATTTGACCAAGTATTTGCAATGGCATTTCACATGTATTAATAAACATGACATAAATTCAACTCTTAGAGCAAATGGTTTGAGTATGTTTTAATACCAATTTCACTCAGTTCAGTCCTTAAACTGTGCAACTGGTTTATGAATATGTTTGGTTTTGTTTTGTATTTTAGGGAAGGGTCTACAGGGTGTTCAGGGTCTCACTACTACATCGGACTCATAGTGATCCACCTGTTTACAGCCTCCCAAGAGCTGGGATTACAGGCGTGCTAGCACATCTAGCCTCAATTACTGTCTCAGCATGCCTCTGGCAATGGGGCCGGCACAGCAGGCCCGAGGATCAAACCCCTGGCCCCTATGCCTGCTTGCAGGAACTTTAATCCACTGAGCTATTTGTCTGGGCCCAAATATGTTTGTAATACAAGCTTCCCTTATAATTCACAAACCTTCTGCCATTTACTTAAAATAATTCTTTATACACTTTCTGTTTTCTTCTTTGATAATGGAGATTGAAGGCAGGGCACATGCATACTAAGCATGGACTCTACCATAGGACTACCCTCCCAGCTCCGCGAAGAATTCTTAGAACATTTATGGCAAGTGATTGGAAAAGGGTGGCTTAAACATGCTCTAATAATTTGTTTTTGTGCTGACTGTAACAGAAACTTAATATTTTAAAATCAATTTTAAAAGCAACACATTTAATAATTTAAGACTTTTATTAATTGAACATAAACCATATAAACCTCTTCTAATTTTTAACTCCTATTCACTCTTCTCCAGTGGCATTAGCTGGGCTAAGGAAGGCAGCTCATGGCACTGGTACAAGATCAATCTTTCTGCCAGGCGCCATGGTGCATGTCTATGCTCCCAGCCCCCGGGAGGTAGATGCAAGAGGAGGGCTGCACAGAGAGCTGAAGCCCAGCCCCTGAGCTGTGCAGTGAGACTCTATTTCAAAAACAAAATGGAAGAGAACAAAACAATATAACTAGTTGATAAATCAATAGTTTATAATTAATGAAGTGAGCTTACTCTTTAAAATGAACAAGGTAGATAGATACAATGCATAGAATTTAATATTATCATATTTGCTTTGCCAGCCAATTTTCTAACCGTACCTTTTGGAGTTTCTTTTACCATCTATTTTATACCTCACACACTCATCTCCTCAGTGCCACCGAAGCAGCTTAGTGTGATAAGCTAGCTATCTACTAACACCCGCTTACCCTTGGGCTCCTGCTCTGCACACACAACCTCCCCTTTCTCTCAACATCTACCAGTTCTTCAAGAACAGCCCCAGTGTCATCTCCTCCAACTCTTCCTGTGACTGTTCCTCCTTTGCTGTGCCCTCAACAATGGCATTCTCACTCAATCCAGACCACAAACTTTTTTCATGTCTCCCAGGGCATACCTCCCACTGCAGTAATTGCTGTACCAAGTTCTTTGAAATCAACTCCAAAGAAGGCATGAATTAAAATAGGTTTTATTTTCCAGAGCGTGCTTGTATTCACTGGTCAGAATGAGTGATTATAAAAATTAGGACTAAGTCCAGAGAAACATAATCATTTCCTAAAATCAGAGAACTATAGTTCAGAAGATGGCAGGACCAAAACAGATGAGTGTCACTTGTCAACAGAACTTTCGGTTTATGAATTCTACACAAAACATTCAAAATATGTTATATGTACAGCACTTAGGTATGCAGGGTCCATAACTGATGCTTTGTGAAAGCTGAGGACCTTTATTTCACCAAAGTTCAAATATCAGCATTATTTAAAACACAGCCCTTTGCTGTATGAGCCCCATCCCTGCGCTGAGATGGCAATTGAGACTGGGCGTGGTGGCGCTCACCTATAATCCAGCTCTTAGGAGGCTGTAAACAGGTGGATCTCTACAAATCCGATCTACAAATCCCTGAACACCCTGTAGACCCTTCCCTAAAATACCAAACAAAACAAAATAAGGCCCTCCCTTGTTCTCACTGAAAACTCTGCCCTTTACAACCTCTTAAACTAGTTTAATAAATATATACAAAGGTGCCATGCACCTACCTTGGGCCTCTAGAAGACCACGTATATTGATTTGCAGGTAATTTCTCTCTCAGTGAATATTCAGCAACCATCATATCAGGAGAAACGTAAGCACCAACACCTGTAGGGCAGATCTGTCATTAACAAAGGATTAAAAATACGCCTAATGGACCCTGATTCTCCCAATGAAATCCACTGTTCGTGTGGGTAAATCGGTTATGCACAAGTATCTACGTCAGTTTTCTCGCTTGTAGAAAGAGATGGATAGGTAAATGGAACGATAAAGACTTAATTAGCAGGATTCTTACATGGGTTATATAACAGCGTACAAAGACAGCATCTATACTTCCATTAAACCACTTATTCCAGTCTTTTTAAAATTATAGTAAATTGAACATACATTGGTTCTCTTCCTAGACTATTAATGGTCAGCAGTGTACTGTACTCAGAGTGGTACAGTTAACATTTGATTGTGGCCTGTGATTATAGCAAGTGATTGGAATAACCACTTTTTAAACATCTGTATTTCGAAACCAGGAAACTAACCTATCACACTTGATGTGGTTCCACCCGGACAACCTACTGTCGAAAGGCATGGTCCATTATTTCCAGCGCTTGAAACATAAATTATATTATGTTTCCACACTGCTTCATTAATTACTTCACAAATCCTCCTGAAAAAGAGAGACTTTTTTTACATAAAAGCAAATTGTAACATAGGATGCAAACTGCAGGACCAAGCCAGTTCAGTGCACAGGGACCAGGCTGGATCCCCAGCATGCTGTACTGGCTCTGCCTCTGGGGCGCACTAAGACAGTGATTAAGAATGGGTGCGGTGGTGCATGCCTGTAATCCCAGCGCTTGGGAGGCTGAAAACAGCAGGATCACTATGAGTCCAAACTGTGTAGTGAGACCCTGTACTAAATACATTAAAAAAACCAAACAAACAAACAAAAAGAACTGAGCCAGCAGCCCTGTGTAAGTGGGTAGGCACAAGAGCACCTGGGCACTTTCCCAAGCTGGAGGTGCTCAGTCAGTCTTCCCCAGGGCGTCCGTTTCGGTGGAGTGCTACGTACCAACTCCAGAGGATGTGCTCTCATTAGGGTTAGTGTAGGGAGGAGTCATGGGGCCAGACTGAATATGTAGAAAACGCTAGGTACAATACGTTACATGCTAAAGTGTAATACAACGTACTAAGACATTAGCAGTAACTGGCACCTTTAGTGGCAGAGATAAAGCGGGCATGTGGCACTAGAAGGATGTACTATTTTAAGATGTAAGAAATCTGGGTAGAGGCTAGGAATATAGCTGAGTGGCAGAGCACTTACTGAGATTAATGAACAGAGATGAAGTTAGACTACGAAGATGAGAATGGAGTTAAGGTACAAAAGCACAAGACCAAATGGTCCTTGACAGTCCTAGGTGTGAATATCCAAGTAAAGAAAGAATACTAGGCAAAGATGACCTTAAAAGATTAAAAGTGAAAGGAGAAAATAAGTGAGGAAAAACAGGCAAAAGAAGGCATAAGTGCATTAATGAATAACTTTATTTAAGAATGACTATGTGCATGTCACAAGGGCAGCAAAGCTGTACCTCACAAGAACCTCAGTACTAGTTATTTGAGAAAATTAAATCCGGTAGCAGCAAATTACAAGGGTTAGGTTGAGAAAATTTTCATCTTTTTCTTTTTATGGTACTGGGGGCAGAATTTTGGTACTGAGCTACCTCCTCAGCCCTTTTATTTATTTTTATTCTGAGACAAGGTCTTACAAATCTCTGTTCTAACTTGCAAGCTTTTCACTTCAGCCTGCCAGAGAGCCAGCATCAAAAGATGTGCCACCATGCCCAGCTACAATTTCCAGCTGGTGGAACCTTATTCAACTGCAAAAGAAATAGCTGATGGCTGTATTCTAAAAGCCTGGTGCTAGGAATAGGGCAGAGAGTGTCAAAATGTTAATATTCAAAATAAAATTTCAAATATTATGAAGCAAAAGAGATAAGGGAAGGTAAGATCAGGTCAAGGACACAACACTAAGTCTAGAGCAAACTAATGACACAGGGAGAAGAGGCCTGGGGATGCGAGGCACAATGCAGTGGAGGGGACATGAGGAGATGGGACAAGTGGAGGCAGCGAATACACACAGCCAGCAGCAAGCTTTGCAGGAACGGCAGGGCTGCAGCGAGTCTGAGGGTCTGTCCACTAAAGGCCACTCCAGGAGTGTTCAGGTGCTTGTGGGATGAGTAAGTGCAGTAAGGGGCTGCCCCTTGGAACTAAATGGCTGACAAGTGAGGGTGGAGTGAAGCCAGCACTGGAAGATCAGAGGGCTGGATGGTTGCAAGTCTCAGAAGAGCCACCGGGTGTGCAACCCCAGCCCACAACGTCCTGGGAAGGGAGGCTCTGGCCTGAGTGCTGAGTGACACTGGCACTGATGTCGAAGATGTGACGTGGCCTTGGCAGCCTGGGGTGCTGGAGATATGTTACTCAATAACTGGACAACTATCATTTGTTCACTGCAAAGTTCAAAGCAGTCATTTAAAATATTTAATCCTTTTCATTAGACAGGGGTCTATGCCTAAAAACTACCAAGAATACTCACCCAGAATTTGGCCAGTGAGTTGCTTCGCCATAGCTGTAGTTGACAAGATCACACTTATGATTTATAACTTCTATCATCTAGTAAAAAGATTCAGAGGCTAGTTTAGGCAACAATTTAAAGACACACTGCTAGTAAAACAAAGGAATATAACGATTAGTTTCTTTTTTCTTTTTTTTTTTTTGATACATGCAACTTTATTTTTCATTTTGATTTTAGATTTATATGGTGAACTACCTCTTTGGTTTTAAATATGTCCCAAGAGCACTATTTTATTCTATTTCACTTGAGATTGAACTCAGGGTCCCGTGCATGCCACACAAACCCTTTATCACTGACCAGCAGTGCTGGTGGAAAAAAGTTATAGTTAGTCAATCCACTATAGTTCAAAATATAAGCCTCTTATAGTTTTGTTATCCATCACAAATTAGTTGCATTTGAACATTTTATTCTATAAATCACTAGATGATCTTTTTATTTATTTATTTATTTTTATTGCTCTTGTATTTTTTTTTCCTTCCATAATTTTATTGAGAAACAAATAGCAATGAGACAGTTTCAAACCAAATTGGTAGGACAGTTTCAATAATTAACACATTGTAT